GTTGATCCCACCCTTTTCCTAACTCCATCAAAGAAGGCTTCACCATCTGCCTCACGAGATCTCAGCCTTGCAATAACAACAAATGGCAACATCTCCCTCCTTACTGGGTTTAAAGAGAAGGAGAAGCTCATAAATCGAAAGTGTCAAGACTCTGTCACCAGTATTCATGAAGAGAATGGATTTAAAAAATCAGCAAGTTTATATTACCCTAGATAATACTACTACTACAGTTAAAAACATTCCCTGTAAATGTGATTCTTAAGGAGAATCACATTTGTATTGCATTTTCAAAAAAAGCACATTCCACAGTTTACCTGAACAATGTATTTTCTTCCAGCTGACAGCATGAGTAATTTCATTGCACTCAATAAAATTCACTGTTTGAAAAGTTTGTCAGTCTTCTTGCTTTAGAGTAAGATCTACACATTCTCCATGCAAAATGTAACTTTCAAGAAACAAAGATTTTTCTTCTAGTATTGGGAAGAAGTGTTTTTATAGGGCTTCTGGTGCCAAAGAAAATTTATGAACTCCTGCAGAAAGGTGAGAGGATATGGGTTATTTCTGAGGTGATAAAAAACATTTTATTGCCTATTCTTTTACATTAGATGCTGTTAACTTTTACCCCATGCCACAGAAGTTGACAAGGCAGAAGAAAATTCTGTGTTTTGCTATGTATAGTGTGTATTTTCTGCCTCTTAAAAACACCAAAGATAGGAAACCCACACGTGTCCATTTCAGAAGAAACTGTGTAAGTATTCTCTGCTTTCTGGCTACCAGCCAGGCTATGGAAGTGAGCTACAGCCAGCAAAAATCAACAGGACTGACCAATTCTTTTTTTCGTCAGTTGTGCTCCTGAGAGTGAGGAGAGATTTTACGTGTAAAGTTATGCTATAACTATTTCAGGCCTTTCAAAGAGTTAAGGAATACTTCCAAGTTTTGAAGTAAATATAATCCAAGGCTCTGCAGTTGGACCCTATTTGCTCCAGTGCTGGGGAAAAAAGACAAAATTTTGAGCAAATTTTACTGTGTTAGCAAAGAAATTTAGTAAACGCAGTATTTTTCTTTTTTTTTTAATTTATTCTACCCATCTACCTATTCAACAATCCATCCGCTGATTCCCCCCCCCCCCCTTTTTACCTCTTTTCAAGGGCAGTTCTGCCTGTCAAGGCAGGAAAAGTTTGTCACTTTGGACAAGACAGGCATCAAAAAAGAGAGTCCTTTCGCAATTCTTGACTTGGTATCAACATTAAGAAAATACTTCATTTCAAGAAGAGAGTGGAAAAGGAGAAAAACAGGAAGCCTGTAGCTCTGAAGTATTCCACAAGATAGATAAAACCAGATTGGTTCCAATGAAAACTTCAGCACCACAAAGGGCTTTCACATTTTGTTGCACATTGTTATAAAACACTCAAGTCAAAATATTTGGCATGTGGATTAGCTGAAGGCAACGTTTTTATTAAGGCAATGAAGAAAATTATCCTCCTAGTGTCTTCTGACACTAAAACTTCCTGTCATGCAGAATTGCTAACTTTTTTAAGCTCACAAAATTTGAGAAAAAAATTGATGTGCATTTCAAAATGTGACACCGTCAAAAAGAAAACAAAAAGCCAGCACAGAACAAATACACAGCAGCTGGCAAGCAAAATGTATTAAAAATCTCAGTAACCGTTAGCAATAATGTCTGAACAAGCCAACTGCATTTCACTCTCTTAAATTTTTTATATTTTACCTTTCTTCACAGTTTCCTTCTACCAGCTTATGTAAAACAAATCATCAGCATCACCGACAAAAGCACTCAAGTCATATTGCATTAAGCAGTTATCTGTCATTACATATACGGGCAGATACCTGCACTCGCATTTCTGTGCTCTCTGATGTAAATGTCCAACTATCTATCTGATCAGTAGAGCCACAGTTTTACTGATCCTCTGCTTCAGAACAATAGCAGCAAAGTATTTTTGAAGGTAAAAAGGCTACAGGCTTTGTTTTCTAGCTAGGAGGAAGACACTGAACAAGAGTTTCTTAATAAATGTTGTTACATGCTGCTTCAGATGAGAAATTTTACTACAGACACAGAAGAAACAAAGAAGTTTGAATATGGATTGCATGGTTAAAAGAAACAGAGATGAGAAAAAGTTTCCAGATTTCCTGATTTCTATTAGCATCAACCTATATTGAAGGCTCCCGATAATAAGTTTGCTTGGATAGGAGCTGTAGTGATCTGGTGCCCACCCAAAGCACCTGTAATGAGGGAGGAGGGTCCCAACCTTGGGAAGAAGAATGGGTTTAACCCAGAACTTCCGCAGACATATCTTAAATGCACATGTGATTTTATGGGTTTGATAACAACCAGCAGTTTGCTTCCTACAGCAAGAGTTAGGTGCTTTTAATTTGGCTTAGATTACGACGTTGTTGGGACAGCAATCACCCATTTCCTACTCTGCTTTCTAATCTATGTAATCCACTAAAGCAACACTGGATGGAAATTGCCTTCCTTCACTTACTTTCTGCTTCAAAACAGCTCTACAAATCCAGTTTTTGAATTGTGTCTAATCCAGAACCGCTTATTGCGGTGGACTCTGGTGCAGAGATTCACTGACCTGGAAGTGAATCACCTTTCTGTACACGGTCCTTCACTGTGTTTTTCTCATGTCAATATATTCAACTGATAAAAGATCAGTTCTGGAAAAGCTTTATTTTCTTTATACGAAAAGAGGAAAGACTGCCATAAGAGTATCTCAGGTGGAGCAGCAGGTCAGCAGACAAAACTGTAAATTGTATAGATTTAATCCACATGTGTTAGTTGCAACAAAAGGTCAGTTTTGGCCCAAAGTATCTGCTGCTTTGTGGGATCACCACACAGCTGGGCAGAATAACATCTCTTCTTCCCAGCACTTCATGATGCAACAGCAGAGGGTGTTGCAGATCAGGTCTACGGTGCCCTGAGGAGAATGATGTAGGATTTGTTACACAGCACATGGATTTTTTTTTTTTTTTTTCCTTTCTGGCTGATTCTGTTAAGGTTTTTATAAGCATTAGCACCAACTCAGAAATAACCTGAAAATAATTGTGATTGGAAAAAAAACCCAAATACATGCATGTATGAAAACAGGAGGAGAGAGTTAACACAAGGAAACTGTTTCCTTTCTATTATTCCTTGTCAATAAGTGAATGGGAAAAATAAAACAGAAGTTTAATCCGCATAGGTAATACTGAAGGAAAGAGATGAATCTTCACACATGACACAAGACCAGTCTTACACATGAAATCCCAGAGGAAATCATTGTCCTGAAATAGGGGATCAAATCTCCCCCAGATACTGGAATATACACAGTGAAGAGAAAGATTATCCAGCACTTAACGGTTCTGGGAGATTGCTTATTTCACACCTGACGATTTCTAGGGCACCCTGATGAAAATCGAGACCCTACATGCTGTTTGTTAGCTTCCCCCAATAGTGCTGAATAGATGAAAATCTGTGGTGCACAGAACAGCTGAGGAAGTCCTATAGATTCCCAAAGAAAAGTCTGCTTATTGCAAAGAGCATGCTTCTATTGATCCCCTGCCTCCCTCTCATCTAACATCCCCATAGGAAAACCTTGGAGACTGAATTCTGCAAACCTTTAGGAAGATTTCCACACACTACAAACGTAGGTCTTTTTATTTTTTAATTTACAAAGAAAAGGAGATATAACTGATCCAAAACTGGGCATTGCTCTCATGTCAACACCATACCATGCTCTCCTTATGTCTGTTATTGAGCAAAACATGGCTGATTATAATACCACAACAAAGTAACACTCACACCTTCTAAATAGATGCCTTAACTGCCTTATGGCAAGCAGATAATGACCCACTGAAATCATGTTCAGAGGAGGAATGCCCCACTTTCCCTGTAATATCTGTATCATTGCTAAACACAGGACGTTCAAAAATGCATCCTAGAAGCAGGGACTGGTGGACAGTCATCCATAATTCCTGGTTATGGACAGAAACCCGTAATTTCTCAAAGTGACTGATTACCGTGATAGCTGCCGTCAGTCAAAAGCCAGCCATCAGCCGCATGCATTACAAACAAAATTCCATCTTTGATCCATGTTTTGGTATAAAATACACATTTCAGTGGCTGTAGGCATTTCACACTGACATGAATGCAACCGAGTCACCAAGCCAGAAGGGAAGTTTTACCCCTCCCTGGTTCATACGATGTTGATGGCCCAGCCAAATGTAAGCAGGAAATCAGTTCTGCCGGAATGACATGCACAGCCCCACAGAAGCGTCGTATGTCTTGGTTTAGGCATAGGATACAAGTCTGTCTTCTAAAGAAGTTAGCAATAAATAAGCGTTGGGAGGGATGGACTGATGCAGAGAAGAGAGAACCCTTTCAGACTGACTGTGGGGTGCAAATTAAGAGGTAGATTAAGTGCTCTCTGTTTTCATGTCTCTACTCAAGTCTCCCAAGTCTTTTTCCTCAGCATGCTTTGTACTTAAAGTGCTGTAAATACGTGTTCTTACTTGTACTTTACCTAAACTCAGTTTAACTGGAGGTTCATTTCATTTCAACTCTTAGTCAAGGTTGAGGGAAAATAAATATCCTGGTACCGGACAATCTCCAAAGCGTCCAGCTCCCCAAACCATTTCTTGCAGGTTTACTTAGGTAGATATTGCTGACACCATTTTGAGAATATTTTGACAGTATTATTTGAGAGCTGAGTATGACAGAATTAAAAGAAGAACAAGCCACTCCAGTGGTAAAGGGGAAGCTTTCTGGCATGTGGCAAGATCACTGGAGCACCAAGTGCTTGCCCAGGAGTGAAAACCACACAGTAACATTAAGAATAAAAGGAGAATATGTACCCTTCCCCATCAATCAAATCTGTTCCCTAAAAGGGAGATAAATCTCTTCATTGACTAAACAAGACATAAACACGTAGCTTTCAGCAGCCATGCAGATTTTGCCAAAGTTTCTGTAAGAATAGCTTTTTAATGGAAAAAGTTACCTGGGTTTTTGTAGATGCTAAGGACATCCTTGAAATAATGAGGTAAGAATCTTTCTAATAAAAGCAGCACATCCTCCAACTCCTCCAGAATGCCCACAAGCAGAAAATTTTCATTAACGTTCAGCTTTGCTCTTTCAAGGGCCCATTCACCAGGCTCCCTGTATGAAATTAATGGAAGGGGGGGGGGAGGGGGGAAGAGTTTAAATATGCATTTACTTCAGAAATTCAAGCCAAGAACACAACTGAATCAAAAAATATTCAGTGCTGTACTTCTAACAGAACATTAAAAAAACCCCACCAAACCCGAAAGGCTTACTGAGCTTTTCCGCACAACATCTAGAATTGGTTTGGCATGTAAAAACACGATCACATTAAAAGGAGGTTAATCACTGTGTGGAAGCACTCTGTTCTGAAGACATCTGTCACCGGGTTGTTTATAAGCTCAAACTTGTGAACTCCTGTATTTCAACTCAGAAGCACGACCCATGTCACGGGAGGAACGACTTCCCTGGGTGATGAAGGGTGCTAAGGGGTGGCGGTGTCCCTGAACCTGTCCCTGAGAACTGCTGCGAGCAACCACTGCCTGCTGTTACCTTGTGAATACCACACAGGAGGCTACTGGCCTGTTTCCCACCTTGTCCTTCATTTTAACTTCTGCCAAAGTCTCCATGAGCTTCCCTTTCCCTGCCATTACCCCTGACTGCCCTGTGTCTCTGCTACAGGATTCGCATTTGTTTGCTCTGACTGATAACTGGTTTTGAAGATCAGTTTAGGGTTATTCTATCTTTCCCCCCAGTGGGAGAAGCTGGCAGGACACCAGTACACCTTTATGTTTCTCTCGTAGTTTCATGGAAGCACAATTAGGTTTGACAAGCGTATGAATCCTAAGTCCCTTAGATGAACTCATATTAATTTATGTCCTGGGAGCAGCAGTCAGCGTTCATATTGATAAGGGATATAATGCCAGTGTCCCAAACTAAAGGAAATTAGCTTTCTCCCAGGGTCCAGCTGGTATGATGAACATCTGAGTCACACAGGCTACCTGAGAGGGGCTGGAGATCACACCTCTTCCTTGACTTCCATTAGGCTATTGCAAATTCTGTGCGATAGTGAACTTCCAATATTTGTCAGAAGCTCTTCTGATGACATGCAGAAAGGCTTACTGCTTTACACTCCCACTAGAGCAGACTTGGCGCAGGTTTTTCGTTCCCTACCACCTTCCTTGAATAGGTCCATTTTCTAGAAAAGCAGAGTGTCCTTACAAATACTACGAGCTTCCTTCTTGCAGCTCCTTGTGAGACTAGGAAATAGCTGAAGGAAGTGCAATGGCACGATAGGAGACACATCTATAACAAGCTACAAAACAGTACTTCAATACACTGCTCAGAAACCCCATAGAGGTATGTTGTGAAAGCCTTCAGACATGTCACTGTTGTTAATGGGATTACTCATATATACAAGTAAAGTGTGCAAATATAAGCATTTGCAAATGAGGCCAAAATACATTATGAAAAAAAAGTGTAATGAAAATGAAGTCACGAATCTCCTTTGTTTCTTAATCATACCCTCACTTATGTCAAAAAACTAAAGCAGGATTTTACAGCAAAGATACTTAGAAAGAGAGTAACATTCTTATGTTCTGAGACATAAGAATGAACACATTTTCACTACTTATTACTGCTACAAAAAGTATGGCTTTTGAAAGAATTTTTTGAGAACATGTGCAGTTGTTCCACTATGGACAAGCAGTAACAATAAATAAATAGAATACCTTGAAATTGAACAAACCTAATAAAGAACGTGCTGTGACCAACAATATAAAAGTATCTGAAAACAAGAAGGTATTTAAAATTCTTCACATATTATTGCATAAAAGTTTACTATGCAGTATCAATAATACAGCAATATGAGAATGGCATAAATAGACACATTAAAAATGAACTAGCTCAATTACAGCAGTAGAAGGCTGCACTTTACATAGTTTTAAGCATGATTACTATTTCTTACACAGACATAAAAACATGGAATTCCTCAGATATAGATCTGATACAAGCACCTGAGCAGAGCTAAAACATGTATTACAAAATTACAGTGCAGGTAAAATGAGTAATGAGCACATATAGTCACTGCCATTCTCACATTGCCAACCCACAAGAGAGAAATCCACGTAAATACATCCAGATTTGATGAATTATTCAAGTATTAAATCAAGAAAAAAGAATAGTACTACATTTGCATTACCCCCCCCCACTCCAAAATAGATGCATCCAGTTACCACATACCACCATATACATTGCACTTACCCCTTTCTCTTGTATTTCAAATAACTGTTGCCTCTTTATTACCAGTTCCTGACAAAATGTTGGCAATAGCTATTGCTGAACAAATTGGGATACCTTGTATATATTTACCTGCATCTTGGATGCTGTCCGCAGAAATATGGTATGATGTAAAATAACCTGGGATTGGAACATTCGGGGTAGTTTTCAAGGATACATACATTAATGTCCTGTGGGGGAGGAAAGGGAGAAAAAAAAAAAAAAGAAAGAGGTTGAATACTGCATTTTCCTTTCTCTATTAACAAGTGTTTTCTTCATCTCATACTTTATACAGCCATCTCAGAGTCAAAGGATTGTGCTGGGGCTACAAGAAATACCTCAAAAGTCATCTACTGGTCAAATTATCTACTTCTAAATATCATTAGAAAGTTTCAGGAGGGAAAAAAAAAGTGATTTTGTCCTAGAATGCAAAAAACCACATTTTTTTTTCTTGCTGCAAATAACACAATTACTATATTGAGATTATTGCATGATTCAAAGCGGGACACATGGATCAACTTTCATATTGAGTTATATTTAAAATATTCAGGAGATTATTTTCAGACTCTTCTTTCTTCTAAATACATCCTGGGGGACACCTGAAATAGCCAGAATAAATCAAATTGACATAACAAATTTTTTTTTTTTTTTTTATTCTGCTTCATTCAATGACTGGAATGAACAACTGTAAGCTGTAATTTCCGCAGCTTACTCTTGATATAAAAACATAGATCACTTTTGCTTACAATTCTGTACATTCCTCAGATGTTCAGAATTGAGCCTATCATGTAAACCCTCACTGAGAAAAGGGCTTATTAGAAATTATTTATAATTTTCCTGATTTATCGTTCATCTAATTAGGAGCTGTTTATAATTTTTCAAAGACTAGGCATAGCTACTGAACCCTGAGGAACTGTATTCCATTTCTAGCTTTACTCTGGCTAGAAGAGTAAAGTCCTGCAAGCAGGACTGAATTCCCCTATCCTTATCTAGTCTAATAGACTCTTACTCTGCAAGCAGACCCACTGACTCCAGAGAGACATATGAGGCAAAAAAAAAAAGGTGCAAGACCACATAAGCAAAGATGAAAGGATCTCATCTTTGCAAAACCAATCTTCATTCTTATTTAAAGATGCATGCTTTTACAATGCAACTGGCTTGATACACATCAATATCAAAACAATGACTAATCAAATCCATACTTCATCAAGTAAATAAAATGCGATAGAGAACACTTCAGTGGGCAACATGTCCTCTGCAAGACAGAAGTGCTTGGCAGTGTGGGAGATAGGGAGAGCATCCCCTGCTCTCCTGGGGCAGCGTGGGGTACAGGCCTCCAGCCCCAGCATCCGCTCCTGAGACCTCAGCACAGACAAGCTCTTCCCAGAACTTCAGCCCTCACGCCTAACTTCATTAGTGTCACATTTGGGTCCATAAGCCTTTTAAAGTACATTCCTGTTTCCTCCTCTGTTTTACACTTATGTAAATCAGATTTTGTAAGCACATCAGAAGATCCTGGGCTGGGAAGTAAATCACATGGTGAGGAATCATCAAAGAAAACAACATAAAAATTGCCAGCTGGGATACAAACAACCCATCTCCCCTGCTCCCCCAGTGTATTCAAGCATATTGAGAAGGGCTTGCCTTAAATAGGTACCATAAGATTTATGGTCAAGACCTGAATTTTTACATTCAAGGCTCTGAGCTAAAGCTAACCAGCCCCCCATTCTCAATGTTATGAATATTACTAAGAAATTTACTGGTGGCACAGACAATGTGTCCCTCCTACCATCCCAATAGTTGGTTTTTTTTTTAACAGTGTCGTGGTTTAACTGAGCACAACTTTTTTGGAGACTATTCACAGCTGGAATTCTATGTTAATGTGCCATTTTCATCTTAAAGTACAGTGTTTAGGCTGGAAACTGATTTTTAAAAAACTTTTTTCTTTGTAATTAGCTATATCACTTTTTTCAGGTCAGGTAGAAGTATAAGTAAAAGGGTAAGAACTCTAGTTTTTCAAACTAGATGTAAAAGCATTCTGTACAGCTTTGAAAATAATAAAAATGGTAAAAGAATTGGTAGAGCAAAACTTGGTTTTGAGACATAATGGTGTGGTAGTTAAAGAACTGACTTGCTGTACATTGATGTGAGTACCGTGTGGAACGCTTCAGTGAAGAGAGATGTGTTACGCAAACTGGAAGTACTTCAAATGAGAGGTGCTCTTTGCTTTTTTGAGAAGTGCTGTGATGCTCAAGGGCATAGTGAAGTCTATGTAGCGAGTACGCTGAAGTCCTGTGCACACACGTAAGCTGTCCTATTGGAGTTTTCCATCTTCAGCCCATGGCTCACAGGAAGCAAATAATCTATCAGGTCATGCTGCTTTGAGAGTGTTGTGGTTTAACCTTAGCTGGCAACTGAGCACCACACAGCTGCTCACTCATTCTCCCTCCCGGCTCCCCGGTGGGTCCGGGGAGAAAATCAGAAGAGTAAAAGTGAGAACTTATGGGTTGAGATAAGAACAGTTTAATAATTGAAATTACTATTATTAATAATAATAATGTAATGAAAAGGAAAATAACAAAAAGAGAGACAAATAAAACCCAAGAAAGACAAGAGCTGCAAATGAAAAACAATTGCTCACCACCAGTGGACCAATGCCCAGCCAGTCCCCCAGCAGCAGCCCCCCTGTCCAGCTTTCCCCAGTTTATGTAGTGAGCATGACGTCACATGGTATGGAATGTCCCTTTGGCCAGTTTGGGTCAGCTGTCCTGGCTGTGCCCCCTCCCAGCTTCTTGTGCACCTCCAGCCTTCTCAGTCGGTAGAGCATGGGAGGCTGAAAAGTCCTTGACTAGTGTAAGCACTGCTTAGCAACAACTAAAACATCGGTGTGTTATCAACATTGTTCTCGTACTAAATCCAAAACACAGCACTGTACCAGCTACTAGGAAGAAAATTAACTGTATCCCAGTCAAAACCAGGACAAACACGAACTAAAAATTGCAGTTCTTAAAAGGTTTATTATGCCCTTACACCACCAGAGATGTTTTCAGCAATACGTATTTTCAGTTTTCATAAGAACCTGCAGAGACCTGCAATGAATTCATGAATTGCTTGGATTCAAAAAAATTGGAAATACTGTCCTGACAATACTTTAAATTATGTCTAAGCCAGCTTCCACTTGATTGATGGATTAATTAGAAGGCAGAAAAACTTATGTAAGATTTAAAAATCATTAGTATCATCCAACCAAGAGCTGTTCCTCCTTTCTTGCTCCTATAAAAAGGTGAAGGGACATTAACTCACAACAAAGAAAGTTATTATTTCTTTGCAAGAATAATGAATACAGTGAGTCAGAAAATATTCCCTGAGATAAATAAGTATCAATACCCAATCCAGAAGCGTAACAGGGATCTTCTTATCCTTCTGAAAGCAGTATTTGATTAATATGGCAGGAGAAACATCATACAATAAAAACAACGTAAATTCACGTGAAAAATCCTGTGGCTTTAATAAGTGAACAGCTTATATTTAGTCAAAAAGAGATTTTTAGTATTCCTTTTTAGGGTAAACTGCTGTAGAATCACTGAAACAACCAGGACGGCACTAATCTAAATGATCGACTGGCAATTCCCTTCAAATTTGATTTGTGGAAGGAATGCAAAAGGATGAGAGACAAAAATCTTCCCCCCCTCCTCACTGATGCACTCAAGGTTTAAGATAAAGGCCAGGTATACTTTCATAGGAACCTACAATTTGTTGCCACCCAACAGCACACATTTCACGTTCCTGACATCAGAAGCACGAGGTTTACTCTGTGGTAAAAGCATTGCCCCTTTCCAGTCTCAGTTTACCACCACCGCTGTGACCCTCATTACAGCTGCTGGAGGGTCCTGATGCATTTGCAGCACCTGCTTGCCTTTCCTATTTTAATGTATTCATAGTTCGTGAAATAAATCACCAGCCACCATCCATCCCCTCAGAAGAGATTTTACTTGATGATAATTATGCAGCTCCATGAAATCACAGTTTTTAACCAAGAGGTGGGGCAAAATAAAGGTTGGCCTGAGGTGTGCTAGTCATTACAAAACTTAAACACAGCTGAAGGAAGCTGCTCTTTGGTTGCTAGTTGGACTTGCAGGAATTTCTGTTTTTTCTGAGCACGAAAAGCTAAGGTGAAATTTCATTATTCTAGGCAGTGTTAGTCTGTTAGCCCAAGCAACATTAATGCTACATTTGCCAGTAAGAGCATGTCTTCCCACCAGGAGGACACAGATCTTTCAGGGCAAAAAGGTTTTTTATGTGAGACAAAAAATTGCAAGGTGACAGATGACAGCCTTGCTCATTTAAATCACTGGAGGAGCCTTGTAAAAAAAATTATTCAAACACAGCTGAGAAAGATATAGAAAGAAAGAAACAGAGCTACTTTGATCATACCCCTCCACAATAAAGAAAGAGGAATTTTATTTTATTCCTCAGCTCCTGGCTACAATCCACACTGCTCACATCCCACTGGGCTTCTGTCTCCAGCAGGGCAGAGGGATGCCTGGGAACCAGCCCTGGGGCTGCAAGTAACAACAGAAACAATCTTTCTTTTTAACAGTACTATATTTTTCTATTGTTACAATTTTGGCTGAAATGATAATTGGTAATGTCTACTTCCTTCTTCTGTAAAATTGCCTTTCATATAAAAATCACAACATGCCCTAATCTATTAATCTGTCAACGAGCCAGACTACTGATCTATCAGAAATATATCAAAGGTGTGTCATTAATATATATATTTTTAAAGTTAATAACAAATGAACTGTTTTATTTGCCATAGCGAGTTCATACATGTCATAAGAGGAAGGTGGCACACGATTAAAAATATTTCAAGGATACAAAATTCCTTTGGGAATTTTAATGCTACCACAAAAAGAGCAAACTTTAAAGTATTTTTTGTAGAACAATAAACAATTTACTTAAGTTAATGTCTTTAACTCATTGCAAATACTGTACCATATATAAAAAGATGTGACCTTAGATTTGAGAGTTTGGTTTATTTTCCTCCTAATATAAAATCCTAAGAGCACTGGGGGAAATAACTTTTTTTGTCCAGTAGAAGGAACACCTAAGTTTTTTAAAAAAAGAAATAATTCTTGGGCTTCAAAGCATTCCCTATTTCTTGATCCCCAGTGTCTCAACCAAAAAT